GTTTCTGGGGTCTGGATCAGTCCCATGCTGGTATCCCAGCTATCAGTCTCAGAACAAGAGCTCCCCGTTATTCAGGTCAGCTGTTTCTGTGGGTTTCACCAGCCAGGTCTGGACCCCTTTGCCCATCACTCATTCTTCTCTGCAACTGGATTCCAGTTCAGTGATTAGCTGTGGGTGTCTGCTTCTACTTCCCCCAGATGCTGAATGAAGGCTATAGGATGGCATATAAGTCAGTCATCAATCTCATTATCAGGGGAGGGCATCTAAAGTAGCCTTTCTTCTGTTGCTTAGATTGTTAATTGTTGTCATCTTTGTAGCTCTCCAGACATTTCCCTAGTGCCTGATTTCTCTTTAAACCTATAATGTCTCCCTTTATTATATTTATCTCTTATCTTGCTCTCTTCTGTTTGTCCTGTATAGGGTCTATTTAAATCTATGACTCAAAAGTCAGGAGTACTAGGAAGTCTGTAATTCCATGCAACCTTTACATATATAATATGTTCCAGGCCTGCTGGAGCTACACAGAAAAAAAGTATATATATATATATATATATATATATATATATATATATATATATATATATACATCTTTCATCCCCTCACTAAAATACAAGAGTGCCAGTTGTACTGAGTGCTGACCAACATTTCAGGACTTAAAACAAGAAAACTGTAGTTTGAATTTACATGATTTGAAAAATAGTCACTTGAAGCATCTTTTCAACTACTTACCTACTTAACATATTAATATTTCCTATAAATTTCCTAACTTAGAATTAAATATACTGAAGTTTTTACTAATAAGATTACTTCATAAATGCAACCAATTACCTATATACTGTTTGTAGATACACTTTTTCTCATTTTTATTTCTTTTTGCTTATAATGCATACTTAAAATTTGCTTCAAACTTTAAGCCGGGCGTTGGTAGCACACGCCTTTAATCCCGGCACTCGGGAGGCAGAGGCAGGAAGATCTCTGTGAGTTTGAGGCCAGCATGGTGTCCAGAGTGAGTGAAAGACCCCCCCCCGGCGCTCTCTCTCTCAAAAAAAAAAAAAAAATTGTTTCAAACTTTAAAACATTTGTAATCTAACTTATTCATTTTGTGACTTCTGCATTTGTTAGCTTGTTAGAAATGTTTTATCAAGGGTGTATTACTAATATATTTTCCTGTTTATAAAAATAAAATTGGCACAGTGCTTGCATCTTTCTTTGTATCACTTTGCTGCTTATTTGATACTTCCTCTTTAAAACGTGTACCCCTTATCGTCAAATTCCACCTAATCATCACTTAGTCTAACTAAGTACATTTCTTCCCTTTCATCTTTTCTCAAAGCCCATCTTCCATTCTCATAAATTCCTTATCTGAATTTCACTCAATTTGCCTAATTGGTTCCTCTCTGCACCTAAGGCTTTGGAGACAGCATGCTTTTCAAGTACAGATTCATTAGTTACATGCAGAAAATGAGCTCTGTCCTTTTCACGTAATGCCCTGCTTTCCAACTCAATTAATGGGGACCATGTTTCTCACCCCATCACACGAAAATTCCAATTTGCACCCATGTCTCTTATATATCTCTTTCAATGAGCCAAACATGCCAAAATCTTGAAGCATTGCCTGTTTCCACTTTCCTCTTTACCTCAGTAGATGTACCTTCTTGGCTTCTTTAATTGTATTAATGATTTCTAATTATTCATTTTAGTATGTTAGCTTCATGGGGTTATCATAGCAGACAATCATAGACTGGATGGCTTAAATATAGAACTTTATTGTCTTCACATTTAGGATTTTAAAAGCTGAAAACCAAGGTTGTAATATATTGGTAGTAAGGCTCCTCTCAGCTCTGCTTTTCATCTTCACAGGGTGATCACCCTGTGGAAATCCACATCCATTTTCTTTCCAGGAGAACAGGGGCTAACTCTGCTCCAATATGGTGTCCCTTTAAATAAGTACATTATCAATGACCCTATTCCCAAATAAGGTAACATTTCAAGATACATCTGACAAGTGAATCTGGATGTGGAAACTCAACTTAACCGCTAACACCCAGACATACAGTCATATGAGTATGTTGTTGACCATCCAAATGTACAAAATAACATATCATCTGAGGTCATCTACAATGCCCTAGTACAGTCCCCAGCTTTTAGTCCTCTTCACTATCCCTGACCCAGTAAAAGTCACTATTCAGTTTACCTTAAATCCTGAAATACATTGACCCTGCTAAATCAGAGCTATTAAATGTTCAGTGACTTTTTATCTCCCATGGATGAAATTCAAGTAACTTACCCTTGCATTTCAGGCATTGATATTGAGTGTTGTCTTCCCTTTAGAAACAGGAGTCTGAAAAAAGTGTTTAGAATCATGTAGTATGTTTTTAGAAGAAATCTTTACTGGATTATGAGAATACTGAAAGAAGAGACTGGAAATGCCAGTTCAAGGATGTGTTGTTCAGGGAATTATGGCTGATGAAACTGAGGGTCAATACAATCCTACTGGAGACTCCCTGCAGAACAGATTTCAGAAATACCCATTTGAAGGCTCAAATGGGTTGGATTTATAGCTAAGGTCTCGGTCTCTTATTCTTACCAGTCAAAGGTTGTCCCATATAGTCGTGTCAGAATGCTTAAGTGGAGTCTTCAGGCAATAACAGAAGTATAGCAGCCACAAGTCAGAGAGTAAAAGCTCTCATCAGCTGACCCAAAGTGCTGTCATCCCTGCTTTCGTACAGCTGTTGTGGCAAAGACCAAACAGATGCACCAACATAATGCATGGAAGTAAGAGATGAAGCTACTGAAGAAGAGTGGGTAACTTCCTTGGGCAAATTTCAAAGTTTTCTTGATTATTCTCAAGACTGCTTATACAAAGTAGTCTACATTACTGGTATTGGTGGGGTCCTCATAAAGCATAGGGAATACAAAACAAGGACAATATTCAGGAAATAGATAAGAAAAGATAATGTGTTCTACTTGGAGAATTGCTTGGAACAGCCTCAGACAAATTAAGATAGCATTGCTCATCAAATTTAGCCAGCTAAAAAAAATTAAGAACTATTTTTAAGGGTCAGAAATAGCTTAATGCAAGTGGAGAAAAGAAAATGGCTTATAAAACATGTGTTTCTGTATTTAAGATATGTGATGTGTTTGTGTTGTTGTGTACACATGTATGTGTGTGGTGCATGTACATATGTATGCAGGGCAGGGGTCAATTCTGGGTATCTTCCTCTATCACTCACTGACTCTAGAGCTCATTGATTGCCTAACTAGCTGCCTAGCAAGCCCCAGGGATAGTTCTGTCCTTTCCCTGACCCAGCACTGAAGTTATAGGTCATCACTGCCATGCCCAGCTTTTTACCTGGTTTCAGGTGATATAACTTGGGTCTTCATGCTTAGATGGTAAGGAATTTACCAATTAAGCCTTCTCCCCAGCTTCAGATAAAATAATTTAACATTTACATTTAGCAGTAGAAAACAGGTGTTAAATGAAACAGAAGAATCAAAACATTAGTGCATCACAGAAGACAAGAAAAAGAATTTCAAGGAGTCAGGTGCTGTGGAACTGTGAAGAAGTTCAAGGAGCTGAGTGTAAGCTGTTGTGATTGCAGATCACTTGGACTGAGAAACCAAAAAGGGCTACTGAAAGAGAGAGAAATCCTTATAAGGTGCTAAAGAATGCCTTGAATAAATCCTAAGAACTCAGTGCTCTATGTCACTTGAAACTCCATGTGTCTGCTCAAGACAAGCATATTTCAATTGAGAATTTAGAACATAAGATATAAGACACTGACATTATAAAATTGGGTATACTTAACATTTTAGAAGACTAGAGAAAAAGAGAGTTGATTCCATAATGGTGTCAGGATATTGACAACGATGGAGTTAAGTACAAAATATTTCCATTCCTTCCTATTGTTGAGAGGTGTTTTGTGGCATAAAGCCTGAAGAGTGTTTATCATTCACTATCTGGATTGTTTATAGTTTGGACTGGTATGAACAAAAGCTCCAATAATCAGTAGTATTAAGGTTTTATCTAAACATTTTTATTTCTCTGGGATGAATGCCTAGGGGTGTAATTTCTGGGTCACATGGTAATTACACAGTATTTTTAAGGAACTTCAAAATTGAGTGACTGTATGGTTTTGCATTTCTACTGGTAATTAGTTAGTGATCTGTGATTTCCAAATTCTTGTACATATTTAGTCTCATTACACTCACAAATTATGTATGTATGTATGTATGTATGTACATTCTGATAGATATGTACTTATATCTCATGGTTTAAATTTTCATTTCCATAGTGGCTAATCATAATACAAATTCTTTGATTCTATTATTTACTTTGTGTAACTTTCCTTGGTAAAATGCCTTCTGTGTCTTTTGTCTAGGCTCCAACTTTATCACTTTTAGACTAGAGAATATTCAGTGTCATTATCAACTATTCATTCATTTTGTAAAACATTTCCCAATATTGCTTTTAAAAGTTGTATGTTGTTCTTATTCAAAATACCTTACAGTAGGATTTTAGAAGTAGTAGAGTATTATTTTGCTTAGTTAGTATTTTTTCCTCTATGTCATATTATTTTATTTTAGATGGGGGTGAGCTTTCCTCCCTCATCACTTAATGTTACATCTGTTCTGACTAAATTAATCAATCCCTTTAGAAAACTTGTTCAATCTCATCTTGTATGTGAGGCTAAGGTTTCTTTCAAGAGTCCTGTTCTCCCAGGAAGCAACCTAGATGTCTCTCAACCAAAGGATAGATAAAGAAAATGGAGTACTACTCAGCAGAAAACAAAACAAAACAATGAAATCTTGAAATTCCAAGGCAAATGGATAGAACCAGAAGAAACCATCCTGAGTGAAGTAACCCAGTCACAAAAAGACAAACATGGTATGTACTCACTCATACATGGATTTTAGACATATAACAAAGGATTACCAGCCTACAATCCACACTGCCAGAGAAGCTAGGAAACAAGGAGGAACCTAAGAGAGACATACATGGTCCCCAGAAGAAGGGGAAAGAGACAAGATCTCCTGAGCAAATTGGCAGCATGGTGGGAGGGGCGAGGGTGTTAGGAGAAAGAGAAGGGGAGAAGAGGAGGGGAGAGGAGGACATGAGGGACCAGGAATATCCAGTTGGGGGAAAAATAGAGGAGAGCAAGGAAAGAGATACCTTAATAGAGGGAGCCATTATGAGTTTAACAAGAAACCTGGCAAGGATGACCCCAACTAAGAATCTAAGCAATAATGGAGAGGCCACCTTAAATACTCTTCCACTATAATGAGACCGATAATTACCTTAAATGCCATCATAGATCACAGCTAAGCACTGAGCCGAACTCCTAGAATCCACTTGTAGAGAGGGAGAAGTGATGAGCAAATTGGTCAAGATGATGCTAGAGAAACCCATAGCAACATCTGATCTGAGCAAGAAGAAACTCATGGATCCCAGTCTGATAGCTGGGGAACCAGCATAAGACGGAAACAGGCCCTCTGAACGTGGGTGTCAGTTGGTAGGCCTGGACAGGCTATGGGGCCTCTGGCAGTGGAACCAGTATTTATTCCTGGTGCATGAATGGGCTTTGGGAGCCCATTCCCTAGGGAGGAATTCTCTCTCAGCCTATATACACGGGAGGAGGGCTAAGTTCTGCCCCAAATGATGTGACAGTCTTTCATGTTCCCCCATGGGAGGCCTCACCCTCCCCTGAGGGGTGGGTGGGAGTGGGATGGGAGGTTGGTGGGGGGCATGGGAAGAAGGGAGGAAGAGGGAACTGTGATTGGTATGTAAAATAAGATTATTTTTAATTTAAATAAAAATTAATTTAAAAAATAAAGAGTCCTGTTCTCAAGAAAACTCTAGGCAAAGCTATCTGCAAGAAAAACAATAAGTGCAGATTATATAAAATAAATCATATTCATTTCTGCAACAAAGGGCAGTGTTCAGGTGGAATGTGTTTGTCCTTTGGTGGAGTAAATATTTGTTATCTTCACTAGACTACAAACAATCTAATTACATGGCTGCTCTAATACTCTATGGACACATTGCAATCTCTTCTTTTTGGTTTCTACTTTGGGAAGGAAAGAACAGATAATCTTAGAGAGGGAATTGAAATTCACATAGGATTAAATAACAGAAGGCTATAACGAAAGAATGACTGACATCAATACCTGAGCATTGTATAATAGACCAATTATCAGGTGACTTCCTTCTGAGATTATCTGAATGTTGATTGATGTCTAACAATACTCCCAAGCATGTAGCACTGTCTCTCATTCTTCAGCATATAGAAGAGTGTCTGACACACAGTAGGCTGATGAATAAGTGGACCAAATAGTTTAATAATGTCTAGTAATTATTTCAATAGTATTAAGCTGTGCTCAATAATATTTAAGAATATTAAATGCACAAGAATAAACTGATGTATAATACCTTAGTAACTGACAAGAAATTTAAGAATGAAAGTATAAAGAAAAAAAGTCTTTTCTTGACCTCTCTAGCCTTAAATTTTTCGTTAACAGTGTAACTTTCTGTTTTGCATTATATATTCACTTACTCGTGTTTATTATCTTTATCTATAGAATCTACCAAGTCAGCACCTTTGTTTTGTCCACTGCCATACTCCAAGCATCTGGAGCAGCACTGATAATTAATAAATATATAACAGACAGTTGTCAATTGAAAGAGAAAGAAGTCAGAAAAGTGTGCATATAATGCTGTAGAACTTATTAGAATCTTATTTTAAAAACCAAAACAACAGTTTGAAGGGAAAACTGTGGCTGATGAGCTATTTTCACTTCTTAATCTTTGTGCTTATATGGTGTTTGAAGTTGTAAAAACATGAACATAATTGCATATTACTTTAAAATTGTATTTCAGTAAACACTTGCTGACATTAGACACCTTGATGGTGTTTTAGAAGTATCCCTGAAAAAGAGTTGAGATGCTGTTATTTCCAGTTTTACAACAAAGAAAAGACTGAAGACTGAAAATAGATTCTTTTTGAAACAGGCCTATCAAAAAAAAAAAAAAAAAAAGATGTTGCAAGGAAAACATGATCACAGAAAAATTTCCCAATGCATTTTGTCTGACTTACAAAAGCAAAACAAAAACCCCCACATCCCACAGAATCAACTAACCAGGGCTCACAGGGGATCACAGAGACTGAACTATCAATCAGGGAGCCTGTATAGATCTGACCTTAGTCCTCTGCATATATGTTAAGGTTGTGTAGCTTGGTGTTTTGTGGGAGTTGGGATGTTTCTGACTCCTTTGCCTGCTTTGGGGATCTTTTTCCTCCCTCTGTGTTGCTTTGTTCAGGCTTGATATGAGGATATGTGCCC